AAAATAATAATAATAATAAAATAAAAATAAATAAATAAATAAATAAATTATAAGACCACAAATCTGCAGAACGTGGAGTTAAAATGAAAATAACCAATTTTTCACATTGTTTTCTCAATATACAATTTTTTAATTTTCATAAGACGAGTCTTTTGAGAGCTCAAAAGTCCATTAAAATTAAGCGAAAACCCTCAAAACAAATATATAACTAATTTTTATTTATTTATTATTATTTTTTTAAAAGGTCAAATTTCTCCGTCACTCCCTATACGGTAGTGGTGAAGGTTGAGGGGGTTTTATGGGGAAGGAAGAGGATATTTTCTTCTTAAAAATTTTGGTAGATTTAAATTTAGGGTTTTTGTCATGTTAAATCTTCACTTGATCAAACGTAAATTCATTTCTATTGTAACACTTTTTGTAGACACGTATTTACGTATCAGCAACCAACTAGACTTTCATATTAATATTTTGAACGGAAGGACTTAGCTATAAAAGATCTCGAGTTCTGCAATTAAATTTGGAAAAATAAATTGTAACGATCCAAATCTGATTTTGATAAAAGATGGATGTCCCACAATATTTTTTCCCCAGTAATTATTAATAAGCAAAGTATGCTGGCATAATAGGGTCTTTCTCTATTACATGACAGAGAAAAGCACTCTGAGAGCATGAACATTAACTAGACAACCTGAAGAAACTGAACTTTAGAACTTGATCAATACATATATTTATATATTTTAATTTATTTTCAAATTCATTCTCTAGGAATTTTATTATGTCATGGAATCCAGTTTCATGATGGTGCTTAAGTTCATTGGGGTCATGTACTCGTCCGAACCAGTGTTGATTGTTGAAACAATGATCTTGTTTGCCCTTTCTGTCGGATGGAATGCATCCCAAAATGCGTATATCTCTCTATTTGGGCATAAATTTGACGTAGGGTTGCAAACTCCTACGCCGTTATAGGGTCCTTGTCCACAACACGCTATCTTTGCTGTGACAAAACCTGCTTAAGAAAAAAATATAGTTAGGTAATTTATTATGTCATAGTGTTAAATCTTGAAAGAGAGAAAATGAATGGCTTATAAGGTAACAAACCGAAGGCTTGAGGATTGCTGATGAAGTTATTCTGCATTTGTGCTGCGTTAACAGCAATAAATATGTCTGATCCAAGCTCTTGATTTAGGCTTCGAGTCATTTGGATAAGAAGGGGGTTGAATATTGCTGCTGCACGTTGAGGCTCCTCGGCGCATTCGCCATTTCTGCTCCTCGACGCCAGCTGAGAAGGAACGCAACCTAAAGGTCCAGTTCCGGTGACAAGAACCCTTCTGGTTCCCAATTCATGTAGCCTCTGATGTGAAAAGAAGTAATATGATATCGCGAAAATATCAGATTAACAAGTCATATCGAACTAAAACCTATTTAAAAGTTTTGTGTTTTTTGCTTTACGCTCGTAAGGAAAAAAAAATCATTTCAGAAGGAAAATAGTTACAATAAACCAAAAAAAAAGAAAAAGAAAAGAAATTACCATCAAAATTTTCCTGTATTCAGAAATTAGATAACGGGAGAAATCTTGAAGATTATACTGAATCCTTCTAGCAGTAATTGGAGTAAAGAAATAGTTGTTCACGAAATCATTCCCTCCCAGTGTTATCAGAACGAGGGCCTTGTTTACGAGTTGCTGTGCGTTTTTTCCTCCGATGAGTGCGGCAACTCGTTGCTGGTACTGTCGGAAGAATTCCAGTTGCTGATAGATTCTTATTATGTTTGCCTGACAAAAATTTAATCAAGAAGTAAAATCCACTTAAAATTAGTAATATCTATTGATTTTTGAAGTGTGTGTGGGGGTTTTTTTTTAGGGACAAGAATTTAAAACATCACAAATAAGTTACAAAACAATAATCCTGATTTCCCGTCCTCAGTAGATAGGATAAAAACTTTTCAATACTGATTTGGCAAGAAAATCTTACTGGGGGCGTGAGATTAATTTCATACAAAACAAATGTCTGTCAACTAGATAAAGGTTAGAAAACCATCATTGTCATTGGAGGAAATGAAAGGTTTTGAAAGATAACGTGCACATGCAAACATCTATAGGAGTAGTACACGTCCACTTGTTTCTACTTTTTCCATATGGTTGTGCGTCGTGCTTATCGACTAATTTATTTGTCCACGTCGATTCTTTTCAACAAAGACTGGACACATGGACAAATTTAATAAAATAGACTATGGCGAGATTTGAAATCCTGCATCAACTTTACAGGGAGTGATATAATTAATGTTGAAACATCTCATTTAAAAGCTTTTTAATGAAAGTTAATCGGCAAGATCCTTACGAACTGAATTCCAGTGTCATTAAGAATGCCAATTCCAGCAGAGGCAAAGTTTGCTCCAACCAGTAGTTTTTCTCCTGTTAACTGCGGGTTCAAGTATGGCAATGCAGATTCAGCGCCAAGCTTTTGACCTACAAATTAAGTAACATTGTCATGCATGTGAACCAAATTGTGACAAACTTTCTTTATCTAAAGAAATGTAACATGAAAAATAACATGAACTAGGAGACTCACTGATGAGATCAGGAATGTTCAAACCATTTGAAAACCTGCCGGTGGGACGGTGAGTCGGATAATCAATGCCATAAGGAGGAGAGTCTGCCCGTGCAGTGGTTGCCAAGTAGTTGTTATTGCCATTATCCACAAGCGAGTCACCAAATACGAAGAAAGCACGGGCACCCTCGACTGTGGGTGCCACAATTGCCATGAACCCTACTAGGGAAATAGCCAAACTGGCAAAACAAATTGAGCTAGACATTGCGATAAGAAAACTCCCTATAGATACAATTATCGATATATCTCTTCGTGGCAGATTGTAGTGTAAACCTGAAAGTTAAGGCGCTTTTATATAGGATTTTGGGGTACTAAGAGTTGTTTGTTGAGAGTTGAAACCCTATTAAATGGCCGGCGCCAGCAGGCAGCAGAATGAGTGAAAACTGGGACAGAAAGCAAGAAACAATTATAATTTAAATACTGTGAGAAAATGAGTAAAATGCGTACATGACATTATAGGCTCTACATTTGTTTAATAGCAAAAATTGCAAGCAGCATTGAATAAATTTTCTTCATTTTGTATGCCTTTTTGCTTTTTGTTTTTTGAAGAATAAATTTTGGCATTAAACCAGTAAAAAGAAAAAAAAAAAAAAAAAAAAAAAAAAAAAAAAAAAAAAAGACTCTTTCCATACTATTTATCATGCCATTCATTGGCCACACCTACGCGGTTGTTGAAGATTTGTTCAAAATCAATGGAATGATAATTGACTAATTGTTGGATTCAATTGTGAAATTGGTAGAATCAAAAGAAATTGAAAAAAGAAAATTTTGATTTTTACTTATGCGTACGCACATGCTTATTTTTGTGTATACGCGAAATGTGCTTTGGCAAAATCAGAATTAAATTTGCTTCTACTATGCGTACGCATAGTGTTAAAAAATAGTTGTTGACTGATTTTTCAATTTAAAACTTGGGAGCCGTTTTGGATTAAAAGTTACCACTTTTCATCTTGTTTTGGCATTATTTTGTGATGTATTGATTGAGGTCTATAAATAAGTGATGAATAATTAATACAAACATGTTACAAACAAGAAATACATACATTGTTTGTTCCACAATTAATCAAATCCATGCTATAACTCATATTCATTTATTCTTTGTTGTGTTCATCAAGTTTTGGTGAAAAATTTCTCCTGCTTTGTTATTTTCTGTATCAAGGCTTGTTAAAATCTTTCAAACCATTTGTCATAACACCCTTAAACATTTGGAGAGGGGGTAAATATACTTTGAGGACAATGATCCCGTGTTCAAGCCTCAAATTCATTATTGACATATATCGTGATTTCTATTCATTTTGTTTTCATAATTTTGTTGTTGTTTTTTCTCCAACCCCTTATTTTCCAACAGTACTGGTATAGAAATGCTAACGAGTCACTATCGGCTACACTTTTTCTTCCGCCAGCAATGAAAAGCCGTGTTGCATTCAGCGATCTCATGCACTACTAGAAAACAGATGGTTTGTTTTTTATTTTGTTTTTGTTTTTATTTTTGTCTTTTTTATTGAATATAGGATAAGTAATTTTCACAAGAATGGTTAAAGTGATTAAGCACTTGTTTAATTCTACTGAAAAACTGAATTAAAATTTAATTCAAAGTCAATATTTAATCTTAACCACACGTTTTATGAGATTGACAATTTTTCAGCTACACATTACAGCAATTTTTATCTAAATCAAATAGGGGCTAATGATTTTGTATAAAGATTGTAATTACATGTTTTGTAACCTTAGTACAATGAATTGAAAGATTGAGATAAGATAGGCACTTGATAGATGGTTAATGGATACAAGAAAACAATTTATCATTATTATTATTCTTTTTAAATTGTGTTTATTGTGCCTCTGTTTGGCTAATAACATATGATGACCTAACCCAATGAAATATAGGCCTCATGTGGTCTATATTTATTCTCTAGAGACTTCTTTATTTTTAATATAAAAATCAGCTCCTACCTTTGCTTGTCGTCCAAGTTAGTCTAATTTCTTATGTTGATTTTCAGAAATGATCACCATATTTATTACTTCTTAGTAGTTTGGTGTTACCTAGGGGAGTTGCTATAGTCTTAAACTTTTTTATTAGATTAATAGTATGCTTCTTCTGAACAATAAATATCCTATCTTTAGATTGAGTTATCTCGATTTCAAGAAAGTGGTGCACAAGCCTGGATGAGTCACTTAGAACATTTTCATTATGTCTTCCTTGAATTTCTTGATCATTTTTACATTTTCTCTTGTGTATATGAAATCTTCAACATATAGAAAGATCTTTAGCGTATATTTTGTACCTTACGTCTTGATGTATAGAGTTTGTTTTCTCCTTCGAATCCTTGTTTAGTGATGTAGTTGTTAATTCATATATAATTGAAAATATTGAAATGTAAACGTTGCTTTGCATCGTAATTTTCCTCATATTCTCGATTATTTAAACATATTTTCGTTTTTGTGCAATATAAATCTCGTTATCACAATTTAAATTTCGTTATACCCTCATTATTTAATATTTCTTTAGCCTTCTTATAGTGCAGATGTGAAGATTCTCCATTATCACAAGTAAGCGTATTGATTTAAAAAAAAAAAAAAAAAAAAGAACTCTTTGAAAAATATTATATGTCGTGTACCAATTTTTTCCTATCTACAGTGTTCGGTTTCCGTTTCAAATTAGCATTACTTTCAGTTAATTCAAAATAATCCCACTTTGAGAAAGAATTATAGAATTGTATGATGTGTCCTCTGATTAGATTATACTTTTCTTGAGTTCAAAAAGTGTGAAATTCATATGCTTGGAGCACCTATATGAGACGAGATATTAGTAGGTGTCAACTTCTTCAATTTATTTTAATGTTGGAATATACAACAATATCAATATTTGATATTTTTCAGTATAGCTTGATACTCGTTCATAGCGCCCTTGACTTTATGAGCACTTATAGACATAATCTACTATGATAATCATATGTTAGATTGAGATGCATTACGTGATTGAGGCAATATTACAATCCAAATAGAACATCATGTTATATGCACCGGTGGCTTCAAGAAGATGAATATGTCCTTCCAGTATCTTTTCATATGTGCAATTGTAGTAATATTATAATTACATTTCGACTATTTATTCGTTATTAAATTGTATTTATTTTATTTTTTGTACAAAAAATATTAATATACGTACAACTTTAACTACCATACATATCATTTTGTCGGTCCCAAGCCAAAATAAAGATGGTTTTTACAACTTTTTATTTTCTTTTCGACAAAATTTAATTGTACTTACAACTTTACGTCTTTATTATACTTTAGGGGATGTCAATTTTTCAAATTATTACAAAAAGTTCAAAAAAATAAAAAATTGATGGACCGCGAGAGCTCCCAAGTCAGCTCGGCTTGCTCCACCAAGAGGGGAGTTGGTGGGGGCGAAATGAATTGGGATATGAAAATAAGCCAGTTTGCGCTAGGTTTGCATGGTAGATCAAGTCGAGCTAAGCCTGAAATTGATTGAGTTTAGAGTTTCGACTCGGCCTAATTAATACCCTATTACTATCAGCATCTCTACTTTCACGTCCTAAAGTTAATCGGGGTACTATTTACATTTCCTACCGATAAAAAAATAAAAAAATCTGCTAAAGAATCCATCATTTAATGAATATTTTCATTTCCTTACATATATTTATTAGAGATAATCTTCAACCAACGTTTATATTTCTCCATTATAGAAGGTTGGTACAGAATCTCCTCATCTTATACCGTCTAGTTATTATATATTATAATACATTCCCTATTAAATATTCCCTGTTCAACTGATATGGCTTAAATTTTGATAAAAAATTAAGTCAAAATCAATAATTAATTTTAATCACACATTTCATGTGATCGACAACTTTTTAACCATATATTTATCAATTTTTATCAAAGTCAACGTTCTGATACATAGCCCATCATAGAAAGTTGCTTTTTGGAATGCCGCACTTTAGCTGGCAAGGCTTTCGTTTCTTTTTAGTCGAACGAACGATACCTTGTGATGTCGGATTCCGATCCTCAATTCGAAACGAACTAACACACTTTTTATCTAAGCACAAATCCGTTTCTCATAATTTTTAACTACACCAAACAAGGTCATTGTATCAAAGCCATTGTCGACAAGTGATTGAGACATTTCCTTCTGACTGGAGTGTGTGTCAATGGTGTTAGTTCTGCCACGTAGAGGTTTCCTTCATTGACTACATTAGGAAGGTGGCATCAATTACTAGTCGTCTGAATCGGATAAATAATTATTTCAGTCTTAATCAGTAAGTATAAGCTGATTGTGAACCAAGCGGTAACTCGACTTCAACAAATGAATTTACCTTGATTAAATAACCTAAATCATTAATTATGCCTTCATTATTAATTAAAAGGATTTTTTCTAAATGGGCTGTACATTCTTACAGTGAGGGGGCTCCACTGCATGCTGTACACATTTTGTGTACAGCAAACATGGCTCTAATTAAAATCAAGACATGATAACCCTTTTTCAAAAATAATTTTTTCGTGTGTGAGGAGTCGCAAGGGATTGAGCCTTAAGGAGCCTAGCTATTTTTGAGTGGGCATAATGGGGTCGAGCTAGTCAATCGAATTTGACACCTCTACTATCATGGTGCCATTATATTTGATTTTTAGTTGCACATTTAATGAGATTGATAACTTTTCAATCACATATTTTATTATTTTTTATGAAAATTTACTAAAATTTAACTTTTAATCAAATCAAACGAGGGTTACAAAACAAAGTTTTTCGGGACTAAGACTCTTTTCTAGCTAGAAGATAACTTGCGACTCAAACCATGGAATATAATTTGGGCATAGTCCCCAGAGGCATAACCCAGTTGTACAAAGGACGGGAGTGAGGTTATTTCACGCCTTGCTGATATTCTTCGCAGTGTGTGGGTTCAATTCCCGAGATATGAAATTGGACTCCTTGTAGGCGCAGTGTACAATCAGCTCTTGTTCCCTAACTTGCTGTAGCACATCCTGCGATTTAACTCCCTCACAAAATTCTAGGGAGGGAGCGGTGGGAGCAACATTTTATTTATTTATTTATTTATTTGGGCGTACGGCTAGCAGGCGTCCTTGTTGACTAGCCCTTTTTGCTCTCTCTATCAAATTAATATGGTGGTTACACCTTTTATTATTGTCCTTAATATCATCTCCAATAGTCTACATCAAATTCAACGTACTTTTATATCAAATTTAGTGTTTTTGAATGATTTAATTGAAAATTATGTTGTTATTATTATTATTAAA